TTACGGCAGTGGCCGTTTAGGCGAGGCGGTGCGGGTAACGACACAATGCGTGCAATTGCGGCCTGATATGTTTTGAGGGCAACTCGTATCAGTCGCCATCTGGTTTTCTGCTTGTCTCACTCGGGACGATGCGGTCCTGCGGCAAGGTTGCCTGCCGACTCCCCGGCACGAGTTGGACAATGGTCAGGAGTGGGAAATGTCCCCTCTCCTCCACAATCCATCTATATATATATGTATAGATACATACATTATACATGTATAAAGAGACACACGCATATGTTTTATACATACATAGATATATGTATATATATAATGCACCTATAAATACATATGTATATACATATGTATGTACATGTATTCGGACCGTCGCCGTACTAATGTAAGGCCCCGAGTGGGTCCTTTTCGGGGTCTCTTGAGGCCGTTTTCAGGCTGTCTTGGGGGCCTCTTGGGCCGTCTTGCGGCCCTCTGGGGCCGTCTTGGCCCCTCAGGGCAATCTTTGGGGCCTCTTGCGGCTGTTCTGCGGAGGTCTGCGAGCCCGGTTGGGCTATCTTGGGGCCACCTTTGGCCCCTCTTGGGCCGTTCTGGGTTCGCGTTGGGGCCCCATTGGACGCCTATTGGGGTCATCTTGGAGCGATCCTTGGAGCCTCTTCGGCCGTCTCGAGCGCTCTGGAGACCGAGAAGCCGAGTACGTGTGCGAAAGTGGTACCGAAACTCGGGGACAACCAAGCGCTGTTGCCTCCCAGGGGCCTCTTGCGAGTCGCCCGAGCCTCTGCCCGAGCCTCTGCCCCTCGGTGCCCCCCCCCCCCCCCCGAGCGAGGTGGTGCTGCCGCCGGGCACGGGGCGGGTGTTGGCCGCATCCTTCTCGACGCGGCGGCGTGAGCTGCGGCTGCGGCTGCGCAGCTGCTCGGGGTAGGCGCCGCCCGCGCGGACAAAAATGCAGTACCGCGTTCCGCTTCCGAGAGGGTCTCCTCAGGTTCGGGCGTCGCAGGAGGCTTCTGGAGGCCGTCTTCTGGTTTCAAGGCCGCGGCACACTCTGCTCAGGATGCGAAGCTGGCCCATGGGGTGTGGGTCGAGACCCACGGGGGCCCATGTCACAACACATGCGGCGTCGGCTGAGAGGGTTTGGTGCGTTTCTTTCGTGAGTTCTTTTTTATCGGTCACCAGCTGAAGCCATACGGGGCATTCCAGAAACGGCTTCGCCTTCGTCGAATGGAGCGGTTGATTTCTCTTCGTCGGCGGAGGCAAAAGGCGGGCAACTGCGCCGGCGGGATCTGGCGGACGGCCAGCCGAAGCAGCTGGATTTCTTTTCGTTATCATCCGGCGATGAAGGGCGTTACCGGCGGGGGGAGGGGAGGGCGGGGCGGGGGCCGGTAACGTCACGTTCTGTGCTGCGCTGGCGCCGTCTTGGGGTTCTGGCAACGCCATTCACGGACGGCACGGGCGGGGATCGTGACTTTACCGGGGGGGGGAGGGAAGGGGCGGCCCCGGTGACGGGTGTTATCGCGGGGAGTTTTAGTTTTGAGAGAGCTTCTAGAAGCTGCAAAAGATGCGCTCCTGCCCCCAAGCGGTGTATTCGTTTGCGGAATCAATTTATGTAGCGGCCGGTATGGCTGCACGTTCCGCACATTCAGCTAGTGGCAGGTGCTTTCAGGTTGATGCATTATCCTTTCCAGTTTGCTCAAGTTTAGTTGATGCCAGACGTTATAGGGTCGCCATCTTCGTTCGATTCGGCATCAGCTGTCCGCGGCAAGCATCGATAGTTCGAGTCTTGGCATCCAGCATCACATTCCTTGCTATGCTGGCGTTCAGCGGCAGCTGCGTCAGTTGACCTAGCGCATGTGTCGCCTTGCCAGCGAAGGAACGCAATGCTGTGGAACATCTGGCTAATAATTGCCCCCAGCATGCATCCGCATTTGATCTGTTATAACCTCCCAGCTTGTCATCATGATTGGTTACGTACTTGCGCTTATGCGGACTTCGAACTGTGGTAATTCCGTAGAGGTGTCCTACCCCCGCACAGCATTTTACATCCAAGCCGTAGTAACGTTCAGCTGTGTTGACTCGTCTTGCGTATCGTTGGCACGTGTATTTCGCACTGCTGCTTGCAGTGCGATGAGCGTATCTGCTTGGTTGTTCGGGTAGCCGTTTGGCTTCAACCTTGCGCTCGGCCAACGTAGACATTCACCGGTAATGCTTGCCATCCAGATCTTGGTGGGGCGCCCTTTTTGCGACATGGCGCGTCCGTATTGCGAATCTGTGTTGGTTCAGGAGGGAAAGAAGCACACAGACACAATGAATCGTCGACCCCCAGGAAAAGATAGGAAAATACTGGAAGTGGAGGGGAAAACGACAACCCAGAAGATATAGGACAATTTGGGGAACCCTGTTACCTGTGTCTATGTATTCGTGTGCCCCAGGGCCCCTTCACTGCTACGCTCCAGGGTTTTGGCTTCGCGTGCCGCTCCGCCAGCTCCGGCCCACCCCGCCTCGGCACGACACGCGTTGCCTCGACGCCCCCCCCCGGTGCTCGAGCGTCCACGTCCCTGGTTTGTTTTTTGTCTTCCCCGCCCCCCGTCTTCGCGGAGCGGAGCGACCCACGGCCCCCGCCTGCAAGGCGCTATATAGCGTGTCGCCGGAGCCGCCGCCGGGACACGCTCCGCAAGCGTTCCGGACCGTGCTCGGCGGCAGCGACAGGGCCGAATAGCCCAGGGGCGGGCATTGCACGCATTCGCCCGGGAATCACTCCGAAGACATAGATCATCGGCGCACCTGAACACATGGATTGCTCTCCCCTGGGCTATTCGCCCCTATCGTCGGCTCTGACGTTCTGGAGAGCAGCGAAGGAGGAGACGCCATGGGGTATTTCTAGGCCTCCCAGATGGTGTCGGAGTAGCGGAGGTCGGAGGATCGCGTCGCATCGCCGATGCACCGGCGATGCGGCTCGATATGGAGCCCGATTCTCTCGGTTCCGACGTCACAGATGCATCGCCGACGTCGCGGATGCATCGCCGATGCATCCGTGATGCATCGGCGCGGCGGCGCGATCCTCTCATCCCACCTGCTCGGACCCCATTTGTCGGCGGCGAGCCTAGGGGGAACGTGAGAAGGGGCGGGCCCTCTCAGAAGGCTTGGAAGGCCCCCAGCCTTCTGAGAAGTTCCCCGCGAATTCCCAGGAGGCACAGGAAGCCTCTCAGCAAGCCGGAGGGCCTCTGAGCAGTCCCGCTTCCTCCCGAGAAGGCCCCCCTCCGTGTCGCTTCCCCCCTCGCCTGCCCGCCGAATCTGGGAGGCCTCTTGCCTGGCACCAGCCTGACCGCGCTCAGCGTGACGGGACCTCTCGGGCAGCACTGATGGGCTTGTTTTCCACCACCACCATTATAAGTTGGAGGGGGGAGAATCCTCCTCTCCCTCTTCCTCTTCTTCTTATTATGCTTCTTCTTCTTCTTCTTCTTCTTCTTCCTCCTCCTCCTCCTCCTCCTCCTCCTCCACCTCCTCCTCCACCTCCTTCCCCCCTCCAACTTATGGTGGTGGTGGTGGTGGAAAGCAGGCCCATCAAGCACGCCAGGGCTGCCCCGACCGGGGACGTCCTCCTGGGAGCACACGCCGTGGCAGGAGAGGAGGGGGCTGTGGCGGCCCGCCCCGTCGCCTGCACGCTTCCCTGCCGTCTCCGCTCCGGTGGCTCCTGGGCTTCCCTCTCTCGGCCATCCTGCTGCGCACCAAGCGCGCTCCGCTGCTCGCAGAGTGCCCACTCGCAACGCCAGAAAAACACACACACACACATGTCCGCTTCGATGTAGCTTGTCGTAGACCCTCCCCGGGGGGTCCAGCCCCTTGGCGAGTATCGGGGGTGGAAAAGAGGGGGGTGATGACTAGGGGGGGTGGATATCATGGCGTGGGCCGTGATATTTCCCCAGATCTCATGGCGCCTCTTCTTCTCATTCATCACGTCCCTGGCCCCCCCGCTGGGCCGCGCACATGCCGCCGGTCATGATTGGCCCCCCCCCCCCCTCTTAAGGACACCCCCCTCTTAAGGCCGCTCCCGAGAGCAGCTATCCCTGCGCGCGTCGGGGAGCGCGCCCGTCTGGCTGTGCCGGGGGCGCCGTCGCCGCCGCCGCCGGTGCCCGCCGGAGTTTCCCCCTCGCCGGGGACCCCCGTGCCCTCTCGTGCCCCTGCGCGGGCGCCCACGCGAGGCCGGACCCCGGCTTCCCGGAGCCCTGTGGTGCTCCTGGCAGCGCTCGGAGGTGTGCCTTTTTCCCTTCGGCGAGGACCCTCGAGGAGCACCCTTGATCATCTGGCGAACAAGCCACGCACGAGACCGAAAAAAAAACACAGGGAATGGGCGTCCAAGTGACGGCAAGTCTTGGGCCCTCCGTCTGCAGCGACGGCGCCCCCCTGCGCCTGCTCCTCCTCGCCGCCTCCCTCCTCCCGGGCCTGCCCCTGCTCTCCGCACGCTTGTGCCGTCTCGTGCCGACTCACCCCTCGCGCGCGTCGCGGCCCCCACGGGCCATGCTCCACCGAATGCCCCCAGGGAGAGCTTTTTTTGTGACGCGCGGAGGCTCGACGAAGCTTGGAGTCCACCGGGAAGGTCGCGGCTGCCTGGGGCCGCCCTGGGAGGCCGTCGCGGGCGCTCTTGGAGGCCTTCGAGGCTATTGGGGCTCTCTTGGGGCCCTCGTGGGGGACCTGGTGCCCCTCCCAGGCCGATCCAGGCGACCCTCGATCAAGGAAGGGGATCAAGGAAGAGGGGTCTCGCACCCCCTCGCTTGTCGGAGCACGAACTGTCGCCTCTTGGGCCCCTCCCTCTTGGGACGCTCGTGCGTCGCTATGGGAGGCCTTCTTTGGGCACTCCTGGGGCTCTCCTGGGGCCCACTCTCGCGATCTTGGGGACCCCTTGAGGCTTCAGGAGCCCATCAGAACTGAATGGGCCATGCGCTCAAACTCACTGAGCTGCCTTGGGTCGTGCACTGGCTGCGGCCGCTGGGGGGGGATCCCCTGGGAGGCTTCGAGGCCCCTTGGGGCCGTCTTCGAGGCATCTGCCAAGGAGCACCGCAAAAGGGCCGCAGCCTTTTTTTTGTTGGCTCGAGCAGTTGCTCTGCTTGCCTGGCTTGTGGTAACCACTCCAGCAGCTGCGATGGCGATGGCGACCACCACTCGCATTTGATATGCTGTAGGCAGCGAGCGGGGCAGCAGCACGCATGTGCCGTCTGGCAGCGCGTGGCGAGCAGCTTCCGGGGGGCACCTCCCCGACCTCGGCATCCCCGAAGCATGGCCAAGAGGCACGCGCGGCACTCGGCAACGTCGTGGCGATGCAGGTGGATTGCCTGGTGGCTTGCCCTCGTGCTGACTCTCCTCGCCACCACGCTTTGCATGCTCGTGCACGGCCTGGGCCCCGCACCCCCAGGGGCCGACGGCGCGGAGCGGCCGCCGTGGGCGGCCCGAGGACATCCCTCGCGCGGTGACGTGCCGAGAAGAGCTGAGGACGAGGCCCCGGCGGGCAGGCAGGCACCACCAGGCACGGTGCCCAGGGCCGCCAAGCTGCAGGGCGGAGCCCCCGAGTCTTTGGGCAGCGCCCCCGTCAACACGGGCCAGGAGGTTCTCGGCGGGGGCGCCGGAGGAAGCGCGGAGGGCGACGCGCAGAGGAGCAGGGGGCAGGGTCGGCCAGTAGGCGCCGCGAGCGGGAGCAGGGAAGATCTCGCCAGGTCCCCGAGTCCGAGCGTCTTTTTCGAAGAACACGTGGGCTCGAGTTGCCAAGGCTACGTTCACGTCCCACCCATCGTGTCAACATTAGACGTCGCAAAGCAAGCATGCATTGCCGACGACGCGTGCAATTCTATTGAGTGCCCGGTTGGAACAACGATCGACTGCACTCTGCGGAGATCTTCCGACTTTGTTGAGTATCCACCAGCCGTTTGTTATTTGAAGGTCGATCCAGAAGATGCGAAGGCAAAGGTGCACCCGGCCTACAAAGGCTTGCTAAAGGAATATCCGTTCCAGCCAGTGACGACGCAGGATCGGAAACAGGTCAATATAATTTTAGTGCGGACGCCATGGGGCGCATCGGGTGACGCCAGGAAAGAGCGTGGCCTTTACGAGAAGTACAAAGACGATATCCTCTTCTTAGGCATTAGCAGTTTCGAAGATTACCCGTTGGATGCCATGAATCCATATTCGCCTAGATTGGATGTGAACTACTTCCTTGGAGCCTTTCCTGGCTTCCTCCACATGATGCGCCAACCAGAGAAGCACTTCCCACCCCACGTCAAAACATTGCTGATGTCGCAATCTGATTTTCAGCTCCCCGATGTGCTGCCAGAGGATCTGCTGCATGTCTCGAAGAAGTACGATTTTACGTATGCGGCCACCTGGCCGCTCGGACAGAGTCCCACCGACTCCAGGTGCATGGGATGGTCAGGGTATGCCAAGAATTGGACGTTTGTGAAGCAGGCGCTGCAAGTGATGTGTGGGGAATACAACTTGAAAGGGGTGCTAATTGCAACAAGAGGTGAGGGCAGCAACGAGAGGTGCACAATACCAGACAGTTGTCAGGGACAAATCACACAGACTACCTTCGTTAAACAGGAAACTTACTTCAACTTTATCAAACAGAGTCGCTTTTCATTCGTTCCCCAGGTGCACGACGCGTCTCCCAGGGTGGCGACTCAAGCGTTGGTGCATGACGTCCCACTGTTGATGAACAAGCACATCTCAGGGGGTTGGAAATATATCAACGAGAACACAGGGGAGTTCTTCCACGACATGAGCGACTTCCGCCAGAGCCTTGAGAAAATCCTTCACGGCGCAGCCACCCCTGGCACGTATCAGCCAAGGAAGTGGGTGTTGGAGAATTATGGGGATGAGCATTCTGGGAAGCGATTGCTGGCCTTCGTCAAGGAGAATTTTGCCGACCGGGTTACTCTTCCCAAGAACACCAGGCTGCTACTGACGTGAGCGCCATGAGTGTGCAAAACAAGGACATACGCACACACATACGGCCTCTCATTTTCACACAGACACGCGCACACAC